GATTTTTGGTAATAATCGCTGATAGAGAAACATTTTTGTACTTAGTTGCATATCTTAAAAAATTACAACTTCTCAAGTAATATCCTGTTTATCAATTTTAATAGTTTAGTCCTGTGATCCTTTATAGTTTGCGTGAGGCAAAAAAAAAAAGGGCTCACTCACTATGTTTGAAATTATTGTTTTATTGTTATTACTATAAACATTTTTTAATTTCATGGATTGATACAGAGTATGGCTGTCAGCGTTGTCTTTCTAACATAAATCACCCGCGTCGTGGATTTCGTGCTGGTTTTGATGCTACGTAATCTCTTCTCTCTGTCTTCTAATATATAGTTTTGTTTTTGGCAATTGAAAGATGAGCAAGTAATAACTAAATTTGATTTTTCAAAATTCAGAGTGGATAGCAATCCTAAGTTGCTGTCTACAGAGGCTGCTGCTAAATTGGCTGAATTCGCTTTACAGGATTATATTGCGAAACAAGTATTTGATTTCATCTCAAACCTTTTTCTATTCTTTTCTTCTTTTTACCTCTGGTCCTTTCCTAATCTATCATTTTCTTTTATTTTATTGAAATACAAAAGACCGAGGAAATAAGCTTGAAGTTTGAAAGGGCTGTTGAAGGCAATGGTTTTACGAGCACAGGTCTATTGATGGACTTCACTGAAAAGAGGACACATTGGGTACATTTGAACTTTGAGGCAAGGGTGGGCCCCAAGGAAGAAGAAGTGCTCCTTTTTTTTGCCGAACTCTATTTAGAGGATGGCAGTGATGATAAGTATGTGCTTGCTACATTCTCACCTGCTGAGGCCACTTGGATGCAGAAAGAGAAGGTCGAAATAGGTAAGAAATGTTTCTTTAAATTATCATCATTGGTCGATGATTAAATACCAGTTTTGTAGGCCCATTGTATTTAACTCTTCTGTTTGTTGTGGATGATTTAATTAGTTGGCACATTTTGTTTTGGTACAGATCGTGGATGTCCCTGCTGCCCGAAAAACATTTGTCATCCTTGGCGTCACTTTCGGTTTGCTTTCAATTATCCGCCAAATCCAAGCTCACCCTATTGGAGAAACCAATAGAGAGAGAGATACGCGATGAGTTTTTCATGACTATTCAATCGATGTTTGAGCGATAAACCTGGGAACAATCTTCGTATGCTTTTTTCATTGTCATTTGAAGGGTTAAGTTGTTTTGTGTTCGCATTTTGTAGTCTGTGTGGGTTGTGTGCTGTTGACATCCTTGGAAACAATCTTTATTTATCTATGATGGATGATCTTGTGTTTATATTACTGAAATGTGATTATTGGTGATGCGAACAATGTTAGGGATTGGAATATTTTGCACAGTTGTATTAGGCTTTTACTGAGGACTGGCAGTACAAGATTTACGGGTTTCACAAAGTCTTATCCTGGTATTTGGACATTAATAAGCAAGATTTATTAATGGCTTTCACAAGCACATTCTTCTCACTTGTGTCCAGGTATTAAGTTAGTTGTCATGTGTCCTCTGAGACTTGCTATTGGCGTGTAGTCGGACGTGATCTTTTGCTAATTGCCCTATAGAGATGTAAACGAGCCAAGCCGAGCCCGACTTGGCTCATTATGTAAACGAGCCATACATCAAGCTCGAGTTCGGTTCATTTATCAATGGTGAGGAGCCAAGATTGAGCCTTAGCAAACCGAACTACAGAAAATTATATAAAAAATCATTTTTTGAGCTTTAATGTACCTTGAACCGAGCCGAGTTGAACTCATGAGTGACTCGTTAGATTTAACAAATCTAACAAATCAAGTACCATCTAAGACATTGTTACGGGAGTGTGAGATAGTCAGACGTCATCTTTGCTTAGTTCCCTTTGAGACATTGCTACGAAGTGGGTCCTTTTCTATTTGGCCATCTTACTTTTTTCTATTTCAAATGGTGTTATAACTGTTGTAATTAACGTTATATGTGTAAAGAGAAATTATGTGGGAATCCTTAGATGGTGTGTTTAATGCTGTAACTAAAGGATAGCATTAATGTTGAAAATGTTGTATGTGAGAAAACCTTAACCGTGTTCGGTTTTGAGAAGTGTAAATGAAACATAAAGGTTCATTAACTTTGCCTTAATGAAGGCATTGAATGAACAATCTTCATTGAATGCAAGCTTGCCTCATGAGTACTATATAAAGTGCATGAGAGCTTATGGAAAAGACACACCAAGTGAAGAAAGAAAAGGATCACTTTAATACATACATAGTCTCTTTCATCCTCTACAAGTCAAAGAAAAAATTAAGGGTTCTTGGCGACTGAGCTTCTGATCGAGGTGAGTGTGTTAGATAGTGCAGTCTTCACACTTTGAGCCGTCTTATCCTGGGAGAAAAGGCGTAGTACTCGTTGCACAGTATCGGGGCGTCTGTTTCTTCAAGGCAAACAGAATGTTTTTGTGATTCGGCTATATGTGTTCTATAACAATATAGAACTGTCAGTTAAGTTATTTAATTTTATAATAAAGTTATTTATTTACTAATAGAAATCTGGTTTCATCTCACGTTCCCGTGGTTGAATGTTTGTGGTTTCTATTTCAAATTCTTAATACGTATATGTGTTGAACTCGTTCTTAATTCGCCTTTACAATAATAATATTTCCAACAATCTTGAAGAAACAGATTTTGTGATTAAAACGAGATTTTTCAAAAGAGTTATATGTATTTATTTTATTTTATTTTTTTCTCAATTTATCATTATAGCAAGTGGTTCTGGCACCATACCAAGTAATGCTATGTTGAATTCAAAAGTCGATTTATCCGGCTTACCGGAAAAACTTTCGGGGCAATTTTTCAAACGTTGGCAACAACGAATGAAAATTTGGCTTACGATGAAAGGACTTTTGACGATAATTCAGGTGGCTAGGCCTGAACCAACTGATAATGATCCCAAAACAACTGAAACTGCTCAGTGGGACGAAAGAGATCAAATTGTTCGAGGAGCTATTTTGTCAGCTTTGTCAAATACGCTCTTTGATGTTTATTGTTCTGATTCGTACACTGCAAAGTCGTTATGGGATGAGTTGGACAAGAAATATAATACTGAAGAGCAAGGTCTCGAAAAGTATTCTGTTTCTAAGTTCCTAAAATATCAGATGGCTGAAGGAAAGTCTGTATCTGAGCAGACACATGAATTGATCAACTTGGAACATTCCCTCGCTGATGCTGATATGAAACTTCCTGAAAAGTTTTTGGTTATGTCAATTATTAATAAATTTCCAAAGTCTTGGGAAAGTTTTGGAATGTCGTTAAAGCATCAGAAAGGGAAGTTGACCTTGGATGATTTAATGATATCAATCAACATAGAAGAAGAACATCGAAAAGAAATTCATAATATGCCATTTGAACCTAAGGCTAATATGATAATGGGAAAAAGAAAAGTGAACCATGCAAATATGGAAATGGCCAATAAAGACAAGGCTAAGGCTAAAAATAAGAAACCCAAAGCAAACAAACCATGTTGGAACTGTGGACAGGTTGGACATTGGATTAAAGATTGTCCGGCGAAGAAAGCTAAGGTCAAACCTGGACCCGCTGAACAACCTGTGGCAAATATGGTTGTTGGGGAACCTAGCAATGCTAGTGCTCCAGAGACAACTATTGATGGGTTTGTTTCTTTACAACCTGAGCTTTTGAATGTCTATGAATTGTTTGATTGGTTAATAGATACTGGAGCAAATGTGCACATTTGTGCTGATAAATTGCTTTTTGTGTCTTATCAGCCAATTGATGGAAAATCCGTAGCAATGGGAAACTCAAGTGCTGCCAAAGTGTTTGGGGTAGGATGCGTGGACTTGAAGTTTCCTTCAGGGCGCATTTTATCTCTACAGAGGGTGCACCATGTCCCAACAATACGGATAAATATTATTAGTGGTTCTATGTCAGTCCAAGAAGGTTATGAGCTTTCGTTTAAATTGAATAAAGTTGTTATTCAACATTATAATTTATTTATTGGCAAGGGCTATTTGTCTGATGGTCTATTTAAAATTCGTGTTAATCATGCTGGTTCTGGTAATAAATTTGATTTTGCAGATTCTATTGTTATGAATGTTACAGTAAGTTCTTCTGTAGGGCATAAGCGTTTGGGTCATTTAAATTATGATTCTATCAAGAGAATGATGAATCTTAATTTAATTCCAAAACATGATGTTGAACGAAATCACAAATATCAAGTATGTGTTGAAGCAAAGCAAGTAAGAAAGCCTTATCACTCGATAGAAAGGCATTCTGAATTACTTGATTTAGTACACACTGATATTTGTGAGTTCAATGGTGTTGT